TCGCGGACATTATCCGTAACATCTCTTCCATAAAACGCCGCAATGAACGAACAGTAGATTCGTATGATAACAATTCAATGAACACCATTGAAAAAAAGAACTTCGGTCACGTCTACATGAATCAGCTCCTTGACACTACTCAGTTACTACTTGCTGAGTGACGAGAAAGGGGTTCCTCTCAATCTTAGTTTCTTCAGAACATCTCTAACCGAAGACCAAGTCACATTATCCTTTTTTGGGACAAATTATGGCGTTGGAATCCATAGCTTACAAATGATTGACCATTTAACGAAACGAAATGCTGCTCTCCATTTCTTTCAGATTTTATATTTTAATTTATTATGTCCGCAGCACCTGTCAATAATACTAATAATGTTAGTCGGACGGTTTCTCGCCTAGCACGTGCTTACAGTCGTACCACATCGAGCGAACCGACGGATGCGACTGGCACTGAGCATTCATCGACATGGATTGATTCATTTAATCGGCTCAATCAAGCCTTCTTGGGTAGTTTACTTCAACTACCATTGCGTCTTATTGATATAAGTCTTCTCTCCTTTGGTCTCTATCATGGCGGTAAGGCATGTGGTTTCAACAATTCTCTTTGTATCATATCGATTCTTCTACTGATTTTCAATGTCATCGATATTGTCATTATTATTGGATTTCTCTTGCGCTATTCGTCATCGTCAGAAGAAGAAAAATTGAGACGATCTCGAGTAGCAACTATTCTACGTGGCTTTTTTATTATTTTCAAATTTATAGCCATTTGCATTGGCACGTCCTATGTATTTACATCGATTAAGCTGACAAATACTAACTGTGAATTTGTTCGCTTTTGTCTCGGTATTGTATGTTTTAGTACATGGATACTTCCTTTTATTGGAATATCCCAACCTGTATTACCCGTACGACGATCATTATTTATAGACTGCATCATTCTTCTCTTGTTGAGTATTAATATTAGTCTTTATTTTGGTACTGTAGCACCTGCCATGATCAAGATCCAGGATTCGAAGTGTATATTCACCAACATGAAAGATTTCTATTTCCATGCTCCACTGAAATCATTTGCCTATGTTGGACTTATTTTAGCCGGTTGTTCATTGTGTATGGTCGTATTCAATTGCCTGTTCGATCAACTCTTTTTCCGTTTGACCCGCTGGCGAACATTCATCTTCCGTTGTTTAACTATTATCTATGCACTATGCTGTTTTATAAATCTCATTGTTCTCTATTATAATTCTGTTGGTGCTATACTGCTCTTTAAACCTCGTTCAGGTGGATCTTGCCGTTCGGTGGCACCCAATTTATATAAAACTATGTTGATATGGCAATGGATTCGCACTGTTGGACCACTTATTGCAATACCATTGGTGTGTGTTTTCTGTTGTATTGGCGTTTGTTTCGGATCTCTTCTTGCAGCCTGTTTTCCTGCATCTATCTCCGTTCCATTGCTTGAAACTATTCGAGTATGCAATATTTTAATATTTTCCATTTGATTATTTTTTGCTCTGATCAGGAAAGAGTGCCGACCGCTCCTGTTCCAATCACTCCCAATCCTCCGGCAAGACAAGAGAGCATCAACGCTCTTCCAATGGTCTCCTTTGGTGAAGAATCTAATCAATTCGATCAGACTGAATGGTTAGAGACGATATACAGAAGAAATTTGATCATTTTTATTCACCTTTTTTTTCTAGTACCATTTGTCGAATAGATTTTCAACCAAATGAACAAGTAAGACGACTTCAATGTGGTCATTTGTTTCATCCAGGTTGTGTAGCCAATTGGTTGTTGATCACACGCATATGTCCTGTGTGTCGTCAGCGCATGACAGCGGTAGAAATATAGAATCGGAATAGCTTTTACTTGCGTCCAAATAGTGATTGTTCTCACTTGAAACAAAATATTGATTTTTTTTTGTCGATTGAGTGTGCGTATTCTATGAAATATTCTGACACATTTCTTTTTTTTTGTTATCAATAAATGTGATGTCATGATTAATCAAAACTTTGAGCCTTTTCTGGCTGATCTCTCAATAGTTGTTAGGAGAGGATTTCTTCTAGAATCGAACAAGGCCATAACATGACACAATTTTATTTCTTTCTAAACTCATCATCCAATAGACTCTCTCGGACATAAACGATCAAATGAGGGTGTGGGTGAGGATGTGACGATATCGGTATGGGGTAGGTGAACTTCTACATCTACACCCGCACCCAACGTTACGAAAAACGAAAACATATATTTCTATTTGTTTTTAGCAAATATTATCATTTTTTTTGTGCCAAATTTTTTGTTTTCGAATTGGAATTTCCTTATTGAATAAACCTACTTGCTAATAATGGCCTAAGTAAGAAACTGAGTAAAGAAAACGGGTGTACGGTGTGGGTGTGGGTGTGTGGATGTTCTTTATTCACCCTCTCCCACACACCCCACACCCACACCCACACCCACACCCACACTCACCCGCATGATTGTTAATTAGTTTACCAGAGTGACAAAAGAAAATTCCAGTATATTTCGCTGCGCTATTTGCCAAGCTTTATTTGTATCACAGATGACAGAATCGCAGGTCATAACTGATGATTATTTTCCTGATTTATCGAAAAACAACTGTGTTTTTCTGCATATAATTAATTGACTCATTTAATTGATAATCATGACCAAAGAAAAATGGAGCGCCAATATTATATAGCTGTTTCTTCCAGAAATCGACTTGCTTTGTTTTAATTCAATTCGAATCGATCTACTTTTCTTCACATGTCAATCAATTCAATATGGATCTCTTATTTAATACAAAGAAGAATTGCAATGATGTTCACATTTTCATATCTGACTTACAGTTTTGTTCATTAATTCAAAGAAAATAAATCCAATACTTTTATATATAGGATAAATATTCAACGTAACTAAATTAGTACTGAAAAATACCTTACAAAGTTCTTTTTTTTTGAACATGTATAAATACTTCATGAAAAGTTTATTTCTTTAACTCGATACAAGGATTATTCTTAGTTTGTTTGGAAAATGCCAAATGTGTTATGAGATTAACAGAAAATAAAGACAGAATGTATTAGATGTCGATATTAGATCAATAAAGTGACGAGGGTAAAAATTACTGTATGATATAATGATAGAAGATAAGAAAAATGAATAGAAAATTCGATGCGATTTCAAAGAATTTTAATTTATTAAATATGTAAACATTACTTAGTCATTGTCTTTTTATAGAATTCATAGTTTTATTATCTATAAATAATGAATGATCGGTTTTTGTGGTTAATTCTATGATTAAAAAAAGTAAATAAATAAAAATCAGCTGAATTGTATTGATGATTACTCATTCAACAGAAGTGTATACAATGGTCGACGTGAAACTCAACGGATCCCAGTTAATTATGACAATTACTATAAAAATTCACAAAATAATGTTTAGTTTTAGAAAGTATATCTGTGTTTTCGGTGTTAAGACTTTTCGTCACAGAATAAAATGTTGCAATATTTTCTAATACAATCTCTTTGCGCATCACCAATTAATTTTGCAGAAAGTAATGATGAAAAGTGAAGAAAACAATGAGAAAATACTATAGTCTCTAAAAGAAAAAAAAAGAAAATTGAATACTGAATATTTAAAAAGGGTTAACATATTTACAAACTTTACAAAGTGTTTTTTGCAAGTATATCTGAAGAAATATTGTCTGAAACTTTATTAAACATTCTTCTAGTGTAATCGCAGAAAAGTGTTGTGGATTTTGCGAATATGTTAATCTTTTTTCAAATAAGTATTCAATCTTTTTTAGAGACTAGTATTTTCTCATTATGTTTCTTCACTTTTCATCAATACTTTTTATAAAATTAATTGGTAATGCACAAATAGATTGTACTATAAAATATTGCAACATTTTCTCTGCTATGCTTGGCCCTTCAACAAAAAGTCCGATCACCCAACAAACATGATAAATCCGTCAAAAATAATCCATTTGGCAGTGAATCAAACAATTTCTGCCTTTTTCATTGTGCGGTGTCATTCTTTTTTCAGTTCGTTGAACCAATCTTTTTATAATTCATGCAAAAACATGTTTGAAACATACAATTGTTTCACTTTTTTTATAGTACAAAAAAACAGCTTATTGTGTTTCAATTACAGCTACATTTGCTAAAGCAACAGGTGGTAGTTTTTTTTGTTGATAAGTTTGTTTAATGTCCAAAATAAAATATCCAATTAAAGCTATTGTTAAATAAATAATTTGAAGAATAATTGATGTTCGAGCACGAAGTGATCCGGCATATAAATAAACAACAAGATGACCTGTATTGTCACCTAGCCACATACTTGAAAAAGCTGCTTCCTCTTCCTTGGGAAACACAGTTTCATATAAAGCTGAAATTCATTTCCACAATTCAATCAAATAACAATCAAAAAATACTTTACCTGATACAACTGGATCCCATATAGCACTTGCTAGTCCTTGTAGAATAGCTAAAATATATAGAACATACATTTGAGATGAATATGGTTTCCATAAAAGCATTGCAATTAATGATCCATAACACACAATAGAAGCAATTACAAATATCAATGAACGACGGTGAAATTTTCCCACATAACCAACAATAATACTGAATATAGAAGCGGCAATACCATATACCATCATAACCAAACCTGATGGAAAGAAATATTAATTTAAAATTTGTTTGCCTTCAGATAATAAAAAATAAATACAAATAATATCCTGAACCGAAAAATACTAATAATCAATTTTACTGTGGAAGTTCTGAAAAATCTGCTAAAATAAGCAAAGCAAGGCGTTCAAGATAATAAATATGCGGATATTCCAATGGAGGAAAAACGTCAAATACATTAAACACAGTATATGCGAAGAATAGGAAGTTGATATAGTTTCTTATGTAAAAATTGATCGATCTTCTTTTTATAAAATTGATTCGGTGCCTTCTATTTATGGGTGCAACAAATCCTTATTTTTTGCATAAAGATTGTAAATTTTCGAGATGAAAACCCACCAAATCCAACCAAATCTTTCGCCAAATCCTACCAAATCTTACGCAAGATTTGGCAGGATTTGGTAGATATGGTACCAATATCAAATAGAGCGAATAAAACTGGTTATAAATGACACAAAGATTTGGCTGGATTTGGAGGATTTTCATCTCGAAAATTTACAATCTTTACGCAGAAAATAAGGATTTGTTGTACCCCTACTTGTATTAGTTTCCAGGAAGCCCATTTATTTTTTAACAATACTCTGAAGACAACCATAATCGATATAATGGCCGTAATCCGCATAATGAAGAAATCTGGCCACCTGCCTATAATCGGAACGCGTAAGCGGTGCCTTCTGTGCGTGCTTCCATCCTCATCGTCAGTCTAGCGATTGCCCCTGTATGTGTGTTCCCGCCCTCACCCTTAGTGAGAGAGACGCCATCGGTGTGTGTTTTCGCCCTCTCCCCCAATGAGAGAGATGCTCTGTGTGTAGTTTCGCCTTCACCAAAATTTCAATTCCCCAAACTCTGTTGGTTTATGGAAACAGAATGAGTTCTCGGAAAGTCATTCGGTTTTTGGAAACTCATTTGGTTTCCGGAAAGTCATGTGGTTTCCTGGAAACTGATATAGAGTATCATATGGCCCATTATGACCATTATGTCTGTCTTCAGAATATTGTTGACAAAAAATGAGTTTCTTAGAAACTAACAGAAGGCCCCGAATCCTTGTAGCCTTACCCTCTTATACCGTTGTACCCTTGTACCCTTGTAGCTTTAACCCCTTATAGCCTTTTGACCTTTAACCTGTAACCTTTAATCCGGCACAGACAAACAGACAGACACACAGACACTAAACATTATATATATATATAGATAACGAACAGTTCTAATGGCTTGAAATCACAATTTGACTTCGAAAGCGAGGAGATGTCGTTAACACTTATGTGAACTGACCTATGTATTGAATACCAACGGAGCATGTAATGAAGCCCTGAAACATGAGAAAATATGAGTATTTTCATGTAGATAATATATGTGTATTACAGTGATGAATGTTGACCACATAAATGCTTCGGAAACACCAATCCAAAAAGCTAATGGAAGTAGTAATATCTGTTTCGGTTTTTTCAATTGTTTCAGTGTCGATGTTGTATATTTGAAAGAATCACTTATAAAACCTTTAGATTCTGATTCTAAAGAAATGAACTAATTAAATGACTAGACATTTTCAAAATCAGTTACGTTTTAAATGTCGTTTTTGATCAAGAAATAAAGCCACAAGAAAGAGTGAAATAACAATTAAACCTACAAATATTCCATACAGTATCGAAGCCTAAATATCTAAAATAGTTAAACAACTTTCAAGTATTCACTTTTGATTCTTTACTGTATGAAGGGATATTTCATTGCTGCCATCGCTTAATGACTGTTCTTCACTTTCCAAATAGTTTGCGCCACATAGATTAATATCTCTTTGTATAGAATCATTTCTACCATTTCGTAAAACAAGATATGTAATTAAATCTCCCCAAACTTCACCTTTAGTCAAAGAAAAATTTATATGAGTATTCGAACAACAGATGACTTTACTAGTTTGAAATGTTGCATAGAAAATACCAAAATATTTATTTTCCTTTGCTTCTTCCTCTCCAATTTTATCCGTTTTGCCTAAATCAGCAATATATGCACTTTGAGCTGTCCAGAATGCAGCTTGAAAAATACCACAAACAGCCGATGCTAATAAATAAAATAAAATAAATTTATAAAAAATATATAATTATTATAATTTACTTGGATACATAAGCCATACTTTTGGATAAATATTTGCAGCAACGAAAAGAAGAAAACCAATTTGTGCAATGAAAATTGTCCATTTATAACCAGCTAAGAAAATAAT